AAAAAGTAACTCAGTTACTAACTGAGTTACAAGATCATAAAAGTAACTAATTACCAACAAAAGTAACTACTTCGTTACTTTTTTCATTAAAGCATGCAGGAATTACTACAATAGTAAAATATAAATGACTAATGACTGAACATATAAACCTGAATAATTTAAACAAATAAACACTTAACAGGAGGAACTACTAATAGGAACATTACACTAATCTAGACTATTAAAAGGTCACTGTGTGATATTTAACAAGACCCCAATCAGCTAAAATTTAAAATTGCAAATAGAAACACCTGTAAAGGTTCCCGAGCCTTTAAATGGTCTCTCAGTCTAGTTAAATTACAGAAATAAATGTAATTTTGCACAGCATTCTAATTTTTCCAGCTTCACATAATTGTGTGTTTTTAGCAGCATTTCTGTTGCTGGTAATCTAGTAACGGTTAAATAAATAAATATCCTTTAAAATGACACTAGAAGAGGCACAAATCTGATGGAGGACTTACATTTACTAACTTGGGTCAGACCCAATCACAGAAGAGCTGAAGCTGGGTGGTAAACACACACAGGTAGTTCTAATAACACCTGAGCTCCATGACGTTTGAGACTGATGCATCAGTGTTACAGCGGGACTAAAGACATGATCAGGAACAGGTTACAGCTGGATGATCTAGGAAGGCAGAAGATCAGGACGTCTGAGTGGTGAACAGGTGAGCGGACCTTCGGAACATCCCGCTGTCATGCTAAGGGCACGGCTGCAGATCCACACCTGCAGCAGCGAATCTGCGGGGGGTCTGCAGCCGTAGATATTCATCACGTCTTCCTCATTCTTCACGGGCCGTGATGCTCTTGGATGAAAACATCTACCTCTTTAGCTCCTGATCAGCTGATGACAGCTTCAACACACCGCGCTGCTTAACGCACGCATTTTCTTATCAGTAACAGGAACGACATTTTGATAAAAGAAGACGTAATTAATTAGTTTGCTCGTTACAGAAAGACATATTTTTTATTAACACGGTTATTTTAAACTGAGTTATTCCCGTTGTGTCTACAGAATGCAGTGACTGAGACCGTGAAGGTCTCCGCCCACCCCGCCTATCATCATCGTGTTTGTAAGTGCGTTACCGACACCTCTCTCTCCCTGGCTGCAGCTGAAGTGTGGCGGTCAGAAAGCCTAACGCTGCTGCTCAACGTTCGACAAGCACATAGTAACGCACAACGTTCCGTCCCCAGTAAAGGTAACGGCGTTGCAACGGCGGGAAAAGTAATTAGATTATTCCGTTACCTATAAAAGAACGCCGTTAGAAACGCCGTTATACTTAAACGGCGTTACTCCCAACACTGATCTCCACAAATACAAGCCAGGCAGAGCATCTGCCATGTGTTGAAATTGCTAACGCTAACGGTTAGCTAAGGGCCGTGATATACTTGCTGTTTAACCTTGCGTTGGCGCAGGCAGCAGGCTGTATCTCTGTTGACATACTTACTGCTACATGGCACTACATTGCATGTGGCACTGGAGTGTTCCCACACAAGAGAACTCAGACCTGAGAGTCAGGTTTGTGGGAACAACCAAAGCAAACATGGCGTCAATAAAGCAAAACCATAAACCTCTAAACCAGAGACTGAGTCACCATGGTGTGTATGTCTCACTAATTTTGTCAACTCCACCTACTGGTTACTCGTTTATTGCAGCGTTCGGACACGTCACCTTAATTGTGTGTGTGTGTGTGGGGGGGGGGGACATGCAGAGCTTCAAATTGATATGTAAGTAATGCATAGCTTCAAATTGATATGTAAGTAATGCATAGCAGCCATTTTACACACACGTTTGCGTCGTTAAACAGCAAGTATAGGTGGTTGCGTGGTGGCGCAATTGTTAGCACTGTTGCCTTGCAGCCAGAAGGTTGCAGGTTCGAAACCCAGCTGCTGTCTTTCTGCGTGGAGTTGCATGTTCGCCTCATGCATTATTTCCTCCGGGTACTCCGATTTCCCCTACAGATCACAACATGCCCTATAGGTTAAAAATTGCACGTCGCTTTGGATAAAAGTGTCAAATAAATAAACATAAGTATATCACGGCCCTTAAACCAGCCGAAAGGTCAGCTGCTGTTAAAACAACACCCTTCCTCCTCATGAGTCGATCAGTGAGTCTATGAATGCTAATTCAGTGTGATGTAGATATGTGAGGATTTTCAAATCCTAGAGTTTCACTGTCTATTTTCTGTGAGAAGCCAATGCAGGAGTTAGGTGTTGGAGACTATTTTCATGTTCAGGCTGCATGAAAAACTCAGAATATACGATTGCAATAATAAATATTATATTTATAGTGCTCAGTCCACCTCACCTTTAAGTTCAAGCCAGATTGGAGCATGTAACTAGATATTTGTTGCCTACACTTGACAATGCAAGAGGCTTTCTAGAAGAGGAGAAAATGTGGAAATGGATTTCATTAGTTGGAGTCTGTGTACAAATCCCCCCAATCCTACCCCTCTTTTAGGTGCATTTGTGGACCTCCCATTCTCACAAGCCCCTTGTCTCTCTTCCTCCCTCCCTGGGTATGGGAGAGGTGAGGCTCCATAGTCATTTAATGTGGGAAACCCAGTCAATTAAATGAAGGAAGCCAGCCTTGCAAAATCCATGCCCCAGGTCTTGTTACAGTGTGGCCTTACCCGAAAAGAGCAACTTATTCATATCATCACTAAATGCAGGGATTGAATGTTAAGAATAAAGATTGAGTATCCCAGCTGAAGCCCAGCACAGTAAATTTATTGTTGCTGGTCAGTCAGCGAAAATGTGCCTGTGTCACAAACCAGTGGAAACTTAAGGTAACTGCTGGAAAAACCCAGGTATTGAAACTTTTCTAGCGTGGCTGCTGGTGAAAGCATGACTCTGTGTGTGTGTGTGTGTGTGTGTGTGTGTGTGTGTGTGTGTGTGTGTGTGCGTGTGCGTGTGCGTGTGTGTGTGCGCGCGCGTGCGTGCGTGTGTAAAGCTGCCGTAAGGACCTGGTGGTCAGCCAAATGTAGCAGGCAGGGACTTCCAAGAGAGAAAAGAAAACGGGAAAAAAAACAAAACATTTTTTACCGATGAGACACTGACCTTTACACCGCAGCGTGACCATTTTCTCCTATTGGAGTTACATACTGTCCTTTTTGTGACTGTTCTTACAGCTCACTTTAAATAAGATGAAAAATATCTATACAATCATGTCATGGAATCTGAGGTCATTCTGTGGCCTGTCCTTGCCATGTAAAAAACAAACAACAAAAATAAACGATATGTCTGAATAATTATACCAATTAGTGTGGCTGAAGCCGAAACCCACTTTTTTTTTTTTGAGTTTTCTTCATTCGTACATTTGTCATGGTTCACGGTCTACTTTTCAGCTGCTGTACGATGGTGAACGGGGGTGTGTGGTGGTCAGCTCTAGGTTTCTCTGGACGCTCAGCAGACACCCACCCCGACTTCCTGCTTGACTCATGTCACTGCGTCTGGTGTTTGGTGTTATTGTGAACCACTGTGGTGCAGAGTTTCCTATGAACCCTATGGGTGTAGGCCAGTGTCCACTGCAGAGTGATTGCACTGCTCAGGATCAGAGACATTCTCAACCTGTGTTTCATTACCTGAGTTGTCTTTTGTTTGTTTTAGGCTGTTCCGGAAATCAGAAACAGTAGCCTGCAACATGTTTGGGAGTTTGTTTTGTCCTCTCAAAGACCTGCCCTGTCAGCATCAGTGCATATTTCAGTCTCATTATCTTGTGTTAATGATGGGATTTCTTAGATGTACTGAATGTGGTGATAAAATTCATCTAAATTATTTTGACACCAAAATGTTGAAGCAAATAAAGAAAAAAGCAAATCAGTTGAAGAAACTTGGTTGAAATCTGGGCTGGTGGTTCTTGTTTTACTTTTCTAATCACTATACTGATTGTTTTTTTCCAGATGTGATTATAACTGTTTAGAATAATTGAGAATAGATTGAATCCATAAAACAAATAAAAACCTACGGAGAAATGTTCTAACAAGAGCTAAACTTGAGATTGTTTAATTTGTTATATCGGTTTACCCGTTGCATCAGTCTAAAGCCTGCATTACATCTGGATGTGTCTTTTTGTGATTTACAAGGGAGTTTCTAAAATGTCCCAAAGAGATGAGTTGCAGAATTCTGCTGTCCCTCTGCTTGAGTTTTGATAATATTAAAAATAATTAACATATTTTTTTTTCTCTAATTAGTTGTAAAGTTGTTGTGCACATCTTGGAACGTTTCTCTTTTCTATTTCTCAAACTGATTTCTCATGAGTCTGAGAAATCAGACATTGCTTTGGGAGGGGTTGTGACCAAATTCAGTAGAAAGTTGGGGTAAGTCAAAATATGACTAAAGCTGCTTTCATAATGTCTGCAAATCAGCGTAATACTGCCGGCACGGTGGTCATTTAATGTGTTCTCCATTTTTTCCTTTTTCTTTCAGGGTGCTCATTTTTTTTTCTATTTTTCTAGCAATATACGTATACTACCTGTTACCTGAAATAAGAGGCTACTGCTGCACAAACTTTAGCTATTAGTGCTTCTGACTGCTACTGTGCTGTTAGCATGGATTTATCTCAGCCACATAAATTGGTCGGGTTAGGGTTCAGCTCGGATCAACACTTACCATCATTGGCTTTTCACCTGTTTTTTATACGAAAGGTTTTTATCAACCTGTTCTCATATGTCTATAAAGGAAACGTTATTTCAGAATATAAATTGCTATTGTTTTATCTGCCAGCTTTATCTGGGCTATGACGATCTCTACAGTCGACTCATCCAATTCTCTTTTGTTCTGTTTAAAAATGAGAAATCTTGATGCCAAAAACCCAAGTTTCACTTATGAATGACAGTTCATTGTATGAATGTCGGCATTTTTGAATAATGTTTTTCAGGATGTTCAGTTTATGGAGATTAACACGTGCATGTTTAGGGGATTCAACAGGCTGTAACATGTGCACCATATCATCTGTCCCAAAGGTCCCATCTACAGATAGAAATGCCCTGAACTCCCTGTGGGGCAAACTGGCCTCTGAGATCCTGATGCAGAACTGGGATGCTGCCATGGAGGACCTCACCCGCCTGAGAGAGACTATTGATAACAACGTAAATGCCCTACTTCTCAGAATTTGATACCACATTTAGATTCCCTTACATAGACTCCCATATTGACATTTCACTTGCAGTACAGCTCTGCTGTGGCATTTTATTTCTTACCACATGCACTCATCTGACTATTTAAGAACTTGGATCTAAGTCTGAGGTGTTGTTGATATTTGATTGCCATTTAGAGGACAAGCACACAAGATTTCAGTTTTATTTTGTACATTACTGAAAAAAGCTTTTAATGTGTAACTTTTTCATGTTTTTCCTCTTTTTTTGTTTGGCTGGATAACTGGTCCTGTGTAGTCTGTGAGCTCCCCTCTCCAGTCTCTCCAGCAGCGGACGTGGCTCATTCACTGGTCTCTCTTTGTCTTCTTCAACCATCCTAAAGGCAGAGACAACATTATTGAGCTTTTTCTGTATCAGCCACAGTAAGTACAATTTTTTTAAAATATAGATTTTCTTACTACCTAAAAACCAAGTGTGAATTTAGATCCTGAAACGAAAAACTACTGTGTATGCCTGGAAGTACCTCTAAAGCTAAAATACGTTTACAGCTTAACAATAACTACTTTTGTTTGTTTGGTGATTCACCATGCGTCAAAAGTGACACATGGTCATTTTGTATAACTTTGGTTTATTCTACTTAAATAATGTAATCAAATATTCAGGTACTTTTATTTGTACATTTTTAGAGGCTGATAGTTCTTTATTTACTTGTGTTTGACTTGGATTTATAAAACTGGGCTGTATCAGAATAATGGTTCCTAAAGTTGATTTAGAGTAAACTATTTGCGGTCACGAAACGCACCTCCCCTCGGCTATCTTTCCTGATCTGCCGGAACCAGAAGCTTGTGATGCAGAACGAAACAAGACAGGGCTAAACACCAGCTGCCTTTTTCTACATCCAAACATCTTGTTGTCCATGTCTTCAAATGGTGTTTTTCTTTTTGGAACTGATAGTTTGTCCTAAAGTTGAAGTGGTAGCAGCCAGCTGTTTCTCCTTCTCTGATATTTAGAGCGACAAACCTTTCACACCAGTGTTCTGTTGCTAAATAGATCAGTCGGTAATGAATGGAGGACCCAGGGAAGTGCAGTGGTTTGGCAAGATTAGGGTTGGGCGATACTGCCTAAAAATAAAATCTCCATATATATTTTTTTTTTACGATTTTTTTCCAATTCTCTCTCCCCTCAATTATTATGAATAGCAATAAATACAAATGGAAGGCACCTTAAAGCCAATTTTGTTTTTTATTTAATCACAAGCAAGACAAATGTAACCCTCATTTCTGCGTTGAATAATGAATAACTGAACACAGGACGTGTGGCGCTTGTCTGTTAGTGGCAGCTTGTGACATTCTTCTGTATTTTTTAGCTCACTAACGTTGCTCAGTTAGTTTTTACTTGTTTCTCTTTTATCTCTTATCTTAGTGCTTTTACTTGTTTTATGGTTAGTTAACTTTTAATGTAATTATGCCTTGCTTTTAGGTGTGTTATATGTTTTTAGCTTTATATTTTACTCCTATGCTGTCTTTGTTGTTGTGTTTGAGTCTTTTGCTCTCCTGTACAGCACTTTGGTTTGATGCCATGCTATTTTTAAATGTGCTTTATGAATAAACTGGTATGGTGTGGTAATAAAAGTGCCACACTCCACGTCCGTCGCACCAAACCCAAGCCAGTTCCAAACAACGGATGATTTAATTCCTTTCTTAGGAACAAACTTCCCACTCTCACCGGTGGCCATGGTGTGCGTGCTGTGACACTGTCGCAGTTATGTGAAACTAATGCTGCGGAAGCTCTGAAGGGCCTGTTACATAAAAATTTGATTTATGAAAATAAATACATAAATAAATAAATAAATAAAATGACCCGCACTTGTATAGCACCTCTCAGAGTAAGGACTCCAAAGCGCTTTACACTACAGTGTATCATCATCCATTCACACACTGATGGTGATGAGCTACGATGTAGCGACAGCTGCCCTGGGGCGCACTGACAGAGGCGAGGCTGCCGAGCACAGGCACCACCGGTCCCTCCGACCACCACCAGCAGGCATGGTGGGTTAAGTGTCTTGCCCAAGGACACAACAGCAGAATTCTCTGTCCAGAGCCGGGATCGAACCTGCAACCTTCCGATTACTGGACAACCCGCTCAACCTGTTGAGCTACTGCTGCCCTTTTTAACTTTTTTTTTTAATCGCCCACAACAAAAAATTTAAATGAATTCATTCAATTTATCGCCCAGGCCTAGGCAAGACCAACAAGATGGTCCAGTGGTTGCTTTTGGTTGAAACATGTTATAGGAAGCCTAAGTCACTTCCACACCATGGGTCCACGGAAGAATGAAAACATGAATGCAAGTCAACAGGGCTAAAAACGCTATTTTCTAATCCGCTTTGCCTTACGCCCTGGATCACACATATGTTGTACTGCAATTTAAAAGTAGTGATGGGTGTTTTAACCATGCCAGTCACTAGGGATGGGTACCGAATTCGGTACTTTTTAAGGTACCGACCGAATTCCATAGTACCGACCGAGCACCAATTCACGTCGTTTCAAGCGGTGCCTCGTTTCGGTACCCGTCCTTCATAACGAGAACTTGCCAAGACAGCTGCGCATGCGCAAGAGCGTTATGTCGTCGCTCGCTGCGAGCCAGTTGTAAACAGAGCAGCATGGGTAGAAAGAACGCACGCTAACGCTTGGGTCCACTTCACTAAATGTGATGGGTAACTGGGTGATGATGAAACCAGCGACAGACAACGATCTAAGTGAGACATCCTCATCTTAATCTGCTCCGGTAGGTAAATAAAATGTTTAAGATAACGTTACCTTGATATGTTAGCTTCCGTTTCGCTAATGGTGCGTTCGCGTTCTCCTCGGAACTCCGAATTTCCGACTAGGACATGAACGCGCTCTAAAGTTTGGCTTCACTTTACTAAATGCGACGGGTGATTGGGTGAAGATGAAACCAGCAACAACGATCTAAGTGTGAGGCATCATCGTTTTAATCTGCTCCAGCAGTTAAATAAACTGTTAAAGATAACGTTAGCTTGATATGTTAGCTTCCATTGCCACCGTTGTTATCAACTAATGGTGCGTTCGCTTTCTCCTCGGAAATTCTAACTTCCCAGTAGGAAAAATCAAATGAAAAAAGACGGCAAAAGGAATGAAGATACACAGTAAATTTAGTTCACAGTAAAGATGCTTGCTTCAGTTTAATTATCAGCTTATAAATCTACAAGGACGATGTTAAAATACAAACAGTTGAATGTTATTTATCGTGATATTTATCAAATATTGTTATATATTGAGAAAAATATATATTTAATTATAAAAGAGAATTAAAATGATAAACACTCAAAAGTATCGAAAATTGGTACCATTAAGTACCGGTATCGATTCGTAGGTACCGGGAATTAGCACCGGATCGATTCAAATGTCAACGGTACCCATCCCTAACTGCTACTTACCAAATGACCAGATTTATGGTGGTTCTTTCCTCCTGTGGGAAGTTTGCTGAACTTACAGCCATTTTCCCTCAGTTTTCTCCGTGTCAAGTTCAATGACGTCACTTTCGTGAAGCACATTTGTAGTCCTGGACTTATTTTCAAACAAAAACTAAAATAACGTTTCCCCCTGACCAAAAATAAGCTCATTTTTGGTATCAAAATGTGTCTTAAAAATTCACGGACTGTTATCATATGTGAAATCCATGGCACATAACAAGCGGAATTAGAAAACTGCGTTTTTAGCCCCATTGGCTGCATTCATTTTTTCGTTCTTCCGGTGACCCATGATGCGGAAGTGACTTAGGCTCCCTATAGGCAGAGGTTTTCGGACCAAAGCGAGATAACCACTTTTTTTAGAATGTTATGAGGTATGAAACAAGTTTTTTAAGCTAATTTGTTTTCAAAATTACCTATTGGAGCTTTAATAACAAATGTTTTGGGTGGTGGGATATTTCGCGAAACCTGCTGGTATTTTAAAAGTTGTTTTGAGAAGTGTGTGTTCTCGTGAGGACTCTCCAAGTTGAGGAACAGGTCAAGTTGAGGAACAGGTCATGTGTGTTGCAGATCGGAAATTTTATTCACAGTTAAAATTTGCACAGCACCTATTTTGATGTCTTTGCTCCCACCCTCTGTTCTGATTGCAGACTTGTAGGATTGTACAGATGATTGGGCTCTACTAACAGTTTGACGGGTGGAGACCACAACAGAGAGCACTCAAATATCTGTTTCTCCGATTTTTACTTTATTTTAAATTTTATTGTTGATGATTAAGGAAGCCTTCCCAATAATTAGTCAAGAAAGGCTCACCCAGTCATCTGTTTGGAGAAACTGAGGTAGTTTTGTGTGCTTTGCATTTTTGCTGTGTAAAAACCTCATGTTTTTCCCACTGAGACATGGCTTGGTCCTTGTTTCCCATCTTTTGACCAGCACTTTCTTTGGCTGAAGTCAGTGACCAGTGGCTGAGTTCAGCTTCTCATTTGACCTCTTTTACCCCTGCTGTCAGCAGATGTTCTTACAAAGCTTACTTAAAGTCCCATTAGTTGTCACACACACTGATGTGTGTGCGAAATTTGTTCTCCGCATTTGACCCATCCCTTGGGGGAGCGGTGAGCTGCAGACACAGCCGCGCTCGGGAACCATTTGGTGGTTTAACCCCCCAATCCAACCCCTTAATGCTGAGTGTCAAGCAGGGACATTATGTGCTATTGACAGATTATTGACTAGGGCTGAATAATTGTTGAAAGTAATCTGATTGATACATTTTTTCTTCAATATTGCAATTGTGATTTAATTCACAATTATTTTCTCAAGAGGCTTTTCTCATATTTTTAACTAACGGAAGCAAAAAAAAATCTATGTCACTTGTGCAGAATACAAACAAGTTTATGTACCTACATATTTATCTACATATATCAACAAGTTTGTCTACACATACATAAACACTCACAAGTAAAGACAAAACTTTTTATTTGAAGGTGCAATGCTTTGCAGCCAGGAGGACATCCCTTGAAGGAGCATAGGTATTAGCATCAAATGTGAAAATGTATTTGAAGGAAAGAAGTGTGTCCCATTTATTAAAGTCTTTTGTGTTTAGAGTTTTTGACGTCTTGTCCATGCAGAGCTTCTGTAGTTCAGTTACATCCATAGCTGCTTGCCAAAACTCAGAGCATAAGTAGAAGTCGATGTTTTACAGGTGCTGGCCAGTAAATTAGAATATCATCAAAAGGTTGAAAATATTCCAGTAATTCCATTCAAAACGTGAAACTTGTACATTATATTCATGCAATGCACACAGACCAATGTATTTCCAATGTTCATTACATTTAAATTTGATATTCATAAGTGACAACTAATGAAAACTCCAAATTTGGTATCTCAAAAAATTAGAATATTCTGAAAAGGCTGAATATAGAAGACACCTGCTGCCACTCTAATCAGCTGATTTACTCAAAACACCTGCAAAGGCCTTTAAAAGGTCCCTCAGTCTTGTTTTGAAGGCACCACAATCATGGGGAAGACTTCTGACTTAACAGCTGTCCAAAAGACAATCATTGACACCTTGCACAAGGAGGGCAAGACACAAAAGGTGATTGCTAAAGAAGCTGGCTGTTCGCAGAGCTCTGTGTCCAAGCACATTAACAGACAGGCGAAGGGACGGAAAAAATGTGGTAGAAAAAAGTGTACAAGCTCTAGGGATAACCGCACCCTGCAGAGAATTGTGACGACAAACCCATTCAAAAATGTGGGGGAGATCCACAAAGAGTGGACTGCAGCTGGAGTCAGCGCTTCAAGAACCACCACGAGGAGACTCATGAAAGACATGGGATTCAGGTGTCGCATTCCGTGTGTCAAGCCACTCTTGAACATGAAACAGCGCAAGAAGCGTCTCGCCTGGGCCAAGGACAAAAAGGACTGGACTGATGCTGAGTGGTCCAAAGTTATGTTTTCTGATGAAAGCAAGTTCTGCATTTCCTTTGGAAATCAAGGACCCAGAGTCTGGAGGAAGAGCGGAGAAGCACAGAATCCACGTTGCATGAGGTCCAGTGTAAAGTTTCCACCGTCAGTGATGGTGTGGGGTGCCATGTCATCTGCCGGTGTTGGCCCACTCTGTTTCCTGAGGTCCAGGGTCAATGCAGCCGTCTACCAGGAAGTTTTAGAGCACTTCATGCTTCCTGCTGCTGACCAACTTTATGGGGATGCAGACTTCACCTTTCAACAGGACTTGGCACCTGCACACAGTGCCAAAACCACCAGCACCTGGTTCAAGGACCATAGTATCCCTGTCCTTGATTGGCCAGCAAACTCGCCTGACCTTAACCCCATAGAAAATCTATGGGGTATTGTGAAGCGGAGGATGCAATACGCTAGACCCAACAATGCAGAGGAGCTGAAGACGACTATCAGAGCAACCTGGGCTCTCATAACACCTGAGCAGTGCCACAGACTGATCGAGTCCATGCCACGCCGCATTACTGCAGTTATTGAGGCAAAAGGAGCCCCGACTAAGTATTGAGTGCTATACATGCACATTCTTTTCATGTTCATTCTTTTCAGTTGGCCAACATTAGAGAAACAAACATTTTTTCATTGGCCTTTAGAATATTCTAATTTTCTGAGATACCAGATTTGATGTTTTCATTGGTTGTCACCTATAAATATCAAAATTAAACGTAATAAACATCGGAAATACATTGGTCTGTGTGCATTGCATGAATATAATGTACAAGTTTCACGTTTTGAATGGAATTACTGAAATATTTTCAACCTTTTGATGATATTCTAATTTACTGGCCAGCACCTGTATGTAGCACCTCTCAAGAAAAAAACCACGAGGCGCTTCACAACAACAAAAACAAAAAACTTAAAGTATAAAAAGATTTAAAAAATTATTAAAAATATGTTTAAATGGAGCAGAAAAATGTAAGGAAAGGTAGAGAGGGAAATCAGTGGATCCCGGGAAAAGCGGAATAAGTACAGAATAAGGAGAGGGTGGTGATGAAGGTCACGCAAAAGTCAGCCTGAACAGGTGAGTTTTCTGCTGCTTTTTAAAGGAGACCACCTAGTCCACTGATCTCAGGCTCAGGGGGAGAGAGTTCCAGAGTCTGGGGGCCACAGCAGGAAATAATCTGTCACCTTTGGTCTTTAGAGCGAGCTGCTGGGGGTGTAGGGACTGAAAAGATCACCAATGTATGATGATGCTTGTCCATGTAAGGCCCTAAAGACCAGAACCAGGATCTTTGAAGTGAAATGAACCCTGAAGTGAACCCTGGCAGCCAGTGAAGCTGAAGGAGAAGTGGGGTGATGTGGGTGTGTTTGGAGGAATTTTTCAGAAGCTGAGCACAGGCATTCTGAACCACCTGTAGACGGTTCAGGGAGGTTTTGCTCAGACAAATGAAAAGAGAGTTACAGTAGTCTTAAGCGTGAAGAGATGAAGGTGTGGATAATGATCTCAAGTTCAGAGTAGGACAGAATGGGACTCAGCTTTGCAATGTTCCTGAGATGGAAGAAGGAAGAACGAACAAGAGAACTGACATGTGAATCCACACACCAATATTTTGGACAGAGGGTTTGGTGTAAGAAGAAAGCTGACCATTCCTTTGAATGAGCTCACGATGTGCTGAAGAGGAAGCAATTAGAGGAGGAATAGTAGGGGCCCTAGCACAGAACCTTGTGGGACACCATGGGTGAGGGAGGTGGTGGAGGACCTAAACTTGGAGACGGCGACAGAGAAGGAGCACTCAGAAAGATAAGAGGAGAACCACTCCAGAGCAGATCCTGACCCAGTCTCTCAGCCTCTCCACTAGCAGGTGATGGTCAACAGTGCCAATAAGGCTTTAGGCAGGTCCAGAAGCAGGAGTTAAAGTCTCTTACGGTTTTCTTGCTTTATTAAAATATCTGTCTGTACTTGTTTGATTCACGGCAGTTTTTAATTTTTATTACTCCAAAGGTAATTATTTTGCATGTTCCTAATTCGTAATTTGTAAGAATGTAATCGGCGATATTAGCATTTGCATCCCTATGGGTTTTCCATGTATATTAGTATTGTGCTAACCACTCGGTCGGTGCCTGTCAAGTTGCAGCCTTTGTCACATCACAATTTAATTGCATATGCAATTAATCGTTCCGCCCTTTTATTGACTCCAGGTTTAATTATGCTTTATTAAGTAAAATAACACAGGTACAGAGTGACAAAAATCCAAACAGTACTACACTGAGTAACGCTGGTGTTTTAAAGGGTTTGTTTTTCAGAAAAACGTACCTGCCTTTCTGGTTTTCTTCAATTTTAGATCAGTGTTAGACCCCCTGAACAGAGGAAATTCGAACTTCTACTTGATTTGTTGTTTGCATGCTTCAGCTGCAACTTTACTAAAACTTAACGGCACCGTTTGTAACCTCAAAACTAAAAAAATAAAAAAATAAGCACTTGTCCCTGAAGTGAACGCCTGGAGAAATACATAACAGAGTGACTTGTACAAGAATTCATGTTATTGGAGCCCTCAGGCGAGTGAGTAGGTATAAGTTAATCAAGACCCCAGCATGAAGCTTTGCGGTCACTCACAGGAGTCAAACAACTACAAAGAGAAGGAGGGGAGCAGGCTGACGACAGGCTTTACCAAGCAACCCACTGCTGTTTTTAGACTCAACATCACAACTGCCACAGGTTCCCTGTCCCTTTAATTGATTCATCTAATTAAACCGTTGTCAGCACTGTTTCTCTGAGCACCATGTGTTTCTCTGGCCGTTGCTATGGGAGACCTGAAGGGCCCCACTCAACTTCCTCCTTCCTGATTTGATGTGGTCAGTGAAGGATAGAGTTCAAAGATCGATGTTTAGAGACCAGCTTTGGCGGTAAAGGTAATGCCGAGGTATGACTGTCACGAGGAAAGTGGTGGGTTTAAACTGAGTGTTTCATGTTTTTACAAGAGACTTAAGAGTAGGTGTGGGGTTGGAATCAGCGAGGAGCAACATTGTGAACCTTGTGTTGAGCCTTTAGCAAGTTGACCTGTGGTTGGAGCATCAGTCCCTCGTGGATTGGGTTTCAGCTACTGGGCAGATCCCTGCTCACTGATCTATATCTTCTTGCCAGGGTTTCCTCTTCCTCCCCCCTTTTGCAGGACTCTAATGAAAGGAACGGCTTAAAGCTGGAGCCCGTGTACAGAAATGAAGGTCCTGTTAGGACATTCATCTGTTTAGCTGCAAAGGCTTTTTCTTAACTCAAAATGCCAGGGGCCTGAGAGAGATGTTATATTGTGTGTCTTTCTAAAGATCATGTCTTTGCTTACATTGCATCAGTAAGTGATTACTTTTTTCCTCCCTGTTTCCAGATACCTCAATGCTATCCAGACCATGTGCCCCCACATCTTGCGTTACCTAACCACGGCAGTCATCACAAACAAAGATGTCCGTAAGCGTCGGCAGGTTTTAAAGGATCTGGTGAAAGTCATACAGCAGGTAAAAGACTTGTTTTTCTCGCAGCAGAGTTTATAAAGAACATTGGTTTATTAGGCTTTGAAGGATGAGTAAGTGACCAGGACTTCCTATTAAGCACAGCGGGTGTTTATTAGAGTTTTGGCTCGGTTGAAGGAGCCTTGTAACCATTACATCTGATGAATTGCAATGAACTGGCTGACTGTTCTATGCCCATATCATTTTCAGAGCTGACAGTTGCTACTACTTCATAGATCTGAGCCTCGTTTTGGTGGGTTCTAGGTAATTACTAAAATATGTGCACACTGCTCTCTTCTTGGTGACCTCTGGTCAGGTTGACACCCATCCTATTACTATGATTTAAAAATGTCTAAAGATCTGACCAAGTTTTCACTCAAGCTCCTCTAAATATTTAGCAGGCGTGTGCCCAGCACATCACTCCTACACAACCAAAGCTGTGTGCGTGATGTTTCTGAAGATTTACATGTTTTTTGTTGGCATTGTTAAATTTTCATGCAGAATTTTTCTTCGTTAAACTGTTGACACACTTTGTTCTATTTAAACCTAAACAAATTAAGCTATTGATTTTATTTAAAGGAGTTGAAGCGTTAATACAAAGTAGGGCTGGACGATATGCCCTAAAATCAGTATCACGATATATTAAGGATTTCACATCGATAACGATACATGGACGATGACTACAAGTATGTGCAGAAACAAAAGTTGTCCACTAGATGAGGTTGTCACATGTATTACCTTGAGTCACATTTTTTCGTGACTCAAAGTGGTACAGCTTCTGAATGTTGAATGTTGCCAACCGTCACACATTTTCATTTTTTTTAATCATCAAATTTATTGACATGGGAAAATAATCTAGATAAGAGTCAGAAATTTCAATAACGATGAATTTTCGATTTATTGCCCAGCCCTAATACAAAGACATGCTTAGAATTTGCCTTTGTAAATGCAGGTGAGATGGAAAGACCAAAATATTTTTGTTTTGTAAACCTTATGCATCAAAAATTCTGGAGGTGAGACAGTTTCTTATACCAGAGCAGAGACAGACAATAAGTATGTGCAACTGGGGCTGGGTACCTTTGCTTTTTTTATATCAGTGCTTTAAATTATAATGATAAATGACCCGCACTTGTAAAGCGCCTCTCAGAGTAAGGACTCCAAAGCGATTTACACTACAGTGTATCATTCATCCATTCACACACACATTCATACACAGATGGTGATGGGCTACGATGTAGCCACAGCTGCCCTGGGGCTCACTGACAGAGGCTTTAACGATACCGGTACTTGAACAGTAGTTGTTTTTATAGTTATTTTTAAAGTAATTTTAAAGGAAAATTGTTTAAATGTTTTTGGATTTTTCAACCTAAGCAAAAACTTTTAAATGATGAACTATAATTTACCAAAAGCAAGACACAAACTGAAATATTAAATAATTTATATAAATTAAAAACTTTATTTACATTTTTTGTGCAAAACAAAAGTAAACCATATAAAGAAAAAGTACAAACTATTATCTATTGTTTCAGTCAAGAAATATGAAGCATCTACATTTACAAAACTGAATTAAAAATGTTTAAATCCCAAATAAAGCGCACTTTTTGATCGGGTTAGCTCATTTTTGGTGTAGAAAGTGTGTGCTTTGGCTCACAAATTGATACCGTTAAACCTTTTGGTTGGCACTAAAGACGTACCAGGTTTGGGTAGATAGTAGGGATTTGTGTAATGATGAAATTTTGACCATACGATACGTATCACGAGGAGACGATACTATGTATCACGATATATTGCAATGCATTCAGTCAGAGGTTTTTAGTGATTTTTTAGACTGAATTCATTGTAGGAATATTCAATAAACAGTCCAAACTGATACTTAACATTCTTAACATGAGGTATCTGAACCTTCAGTGGTGGAAACAAAACCCATTGCACACTGCTGCGAACTAACGGTCTGCGTTGAAATTGCACCAAATGAAAAGAAAAATGCACACATATTTACATGTAAATTCTTCCAATAATTAGATGCACTGGTTTTGAATATCAATATAAAATTGCAGGAAAAATATCATGATATATTGTAGGGCTGCACAATATTAAGAAGACCTACAATATGCGATAACAGTGATTAATATTGCGATGACGATATTACTTGCGATAAATAACTTAACTCAGGAACAAAAATAATCAAACACAAAAAATGACAAAAAAATCATAAAAATTAGAAAAGCAAAAGATGCGAGGAAAGGGGAAAAATAAAATGAACAAGAAAAGGCAAACAGTGGATCCCGGGAAAAGCAGAATCAGCGAAAAGAGCAGAACAAAGCTAACTCAGGTGTTTGCTAACCATCAGAATTAAGTGCCGTCCGCCTTGGGGTCGGCCATCTAACCTATGAGAACCCACCCAATTGGCCAAATGGGTGAAGACCTCTATTTGATTTGTTAAAAAAAACACCATGCTTCCATTTGATTGACAGAATACATTATGTTTAGCAGACATTTAAGCTGTCCATTCATTGCGATTTTTATCTGTTCTTTGCGATATGCATATTGCGCATGCTGATATTGAGATAACGATATATTTGCTATATATAGGGTTGTCACGGTAACCGGTGTAGCGGTAAACCCTGGTAAAAAAGTTGACAATAATAATAACCATCTTGTTTTTAAAAAAACTATATTGACTGATGAGCATGCGTTGACAACCGATCACCGGATACATGGCAGCGTTCGAAGCTGATGGCAGCTCGTTAGCAAACATCCACAAACAATTAAGACACATTTTTGCCAAATTTATCTACTGACAATGCAAAAAATAATCTGGTAAGTATAACTCACTCAATCTGGAGGTAAGTGAAGAAAATTTAGAAAGTTTACTAAGTTATATTGACGAAGTTTTTGAGTTATTCGTTATGGGTCCGAAGAAATCAGCAGCTGAGCCTGAAACACCTGGGACCAAGAGGAGCCGTCCTCAGGACTCGCCTGAGGCCTCATCTCTTCGTAAGCACATATTAGAATTATTAGATTCTATAGATAAACGGCTTCTGGGATTTGAGGGACGACTTCATCTGCTAGAAGTTCTACACCAGGAGTTTCAGAACCTCCGAAAATCTTTGAGTTCAGCCAAGAGCAGGTTGAGCGGCTCGCTGCTGAGAACGCGTCTCTGCGGGAGTCCGTTTCTTCCCTGGAAGAGGGAATTACGCGGATCACCCAGGACAACAAGACTCTGAAGGAGTCTGTTTGGGACCTTCAGGCCCATAGCATGAGGGATAATTTGATGTTCGCAGGCCTGCCGGAGGAGACGGGAGGAGCGAAGTGCGAGCAAACAATCAAGAACTTTCTCCAGACCCAAATGAAGATACCAGAAGAAACGGTAAAAAACATCAACTTTCACTGGGTACATCACCTTGGAGCTAAAAGAGTGGACAGCAGAAGACCTCGTCCCACTGTGGCTAAATTTGAACATTTTAAGCAGAAGGATCTTGTTAAAAGTCACTGAAGAGAGCTCAAAGGAAAAGACTTCGTCGTAAATGACCAGTTCCCTAAGGAAATCCTGGATCGGCGCCGAGTCCTCTTGCCACTGCGCAAAAAGTTTATCCAGGATGGGAAAAGGGCTGTCATCTTGGTGGATAAGCTTTATGTGGACAATAGAGGTGGGAAAAATGATCGATTCTAAGATGCATCGCGATTCAGCCGTGCATGATTCCGCATCGATGCAGCAACGTGACATCATGAGATTCTCTCCCTATGTCCATGTCAGGGGTCGGCAACCCGCGGCTCTGGAGCTGCATGCGGCTCTTCCATCCATCTGATGCGGCTCTCTGTGCTTGTAAAATAATGAATGGATATTTAAATAAAATGCTTTATATTTTACTGAATTAATTTTACATCTATATGCCAATTTTAAATGTAAAGATTGTCTGCGTAAACCTGAACAGTTCCAACCCAGTCTTACTGTGAGACCAGGTTGACGGGTCACGCTTGTGCGTAATCATAGGCGCATTCTGAGCTGACAAGGATGTGAGATTCTGGGATTCTCCTCAGACAGGCTCATGGATGTGTCGCCACATTGGAGACAGGAACAAGCGCTATTCAGCCAAAGTTTCATAATCAGGGAACATTTTCTAAGTTACAAGTCTCGCTTCAGTCCGAGGAATCTTCCTGCATGCGCTCTGGTTCTGCGACGTGCTCCAAGCCCCACTCCACATCTTCAGCTCGCCGTGCGCCGTACGTACGCGCTGACAGCGAGCTGCGCTGAGCTCAGTGTCCAGCTCAGATGTTCAGATGGGAATCACTCCTTGAGTACATCTGTGCGAAACGAATAAAGTGTCAGTTCGTCTGCTTGCATCGGGGTAGTTCTTTCTATTCTTTCTCCATCAAAATAAACGGTCAAATACAGGAACTATCCGGTCAACACAAGCCCTGCTTTTAACTGTTCTGTTTTCTTGTGAAAATAGATATAATTCAATTTGATTAACACCAGAGCCAGGCGCACTGCACCGTTGTCTCCGTCATTGTAAATAAGGGAAAAACAAAATGATGGGATGCTTTTCTGACCTTCCCCACCTACAAAGTTTAATTACAACAATCAAACATGACAGAGCCTGGATTTGTATTCTGAACAGTCTAAACATGTTTTAAAAAGAAACGTATGACAAAAGTGGCATCTGCTCAGTAAAACAACCAACAGGGTGAAAAATATCAAAATATTGTAGGCAGAGACAGGCTACAACTTCTGGATCAACTTTATATAAATCATTTTGTTGATTATCGTCTTATGAAAGATAACTTTGACGTACACGAGCGACCGGTACTGGCTGCTGTCACCTGTTGGGTTGTGAGCAGCGCTCTGCTGTCTGAGGGTAGGCCCCGCCACAACGCCGCGGCTGCTGTGGCTCCCAGTGTTTTCTTTACTGTGGGAAACGGGTAATAATGGCTCTTTGATGGGAACAGGTTGCCGACCCCTGGTCTATGTTTATGCGAGGACAATAAAGTTTTGAGGTTTTACA